AACCCGGTAGGCTAAAGAACAGAACGACTACATAAAGACAGAAAAGAGAGAAGACTCTATTCCATCCCAATGATCCAAGCGCCATCACCGTCCACAAAATACAACTAAACCATCAGAGAATAACTAAGAACTCTCCTACCGCCCAACATATAACCTAGAAAATCTAGAAGAAATGGATAAATTCCTGAAACTACATCCTCCCAAGACCTAAACCTGGGAAGAAGTTGAATCCCCTGAATAGACCAATAACAGCGTTCTGAATTGAGGCAATAATCACTCTAAAAACAACCCAAAATACGTCCAGGACCAGCAATGGACTTCGCCCTGGAACTTCTCACACCCAGAGTACAAAGAAGGAGCTGGTCCTTCCTCTCTGAACTATTTTCACAATTGCAATAGAAACAGAGGAGGAATCCTCCTAATTCATTTTTGAACCAACACATCCTGATAACCAACAGGCATGCAGAAGCAGACCACCAACCGGAAAGAGAATTTTTAAGACCACATATTGACTTGATGAACATTTGATGGATGCAAAAATCCTCAATAAAATACTGGCAAACCGAATCCAGCAGCACATCAAAAAGCTTATCCACCACAATCAAGTTGGCTTCATCCCTGGGATACAAGGCTGTTTCAACATATGCAAATCAGTAAACGTAATCCAGCATATACACAGAACCAAAGACAAAAACCACATGATTATCTCAATAGATGCAGAAAAGGCCTTTGACAAAATTCAACAGCTCTTCATGCTAAAAACTCTCAATAAACTAGGTATTGATGGGACATACCTCAAAATATTAAGAGCTATTTATAACCTTACACCATATAGAAAACTTAAAATAGATCAAAGACCTAAACATAAGAGCTAGAACTAGAAAACTCTTAGAAGAAAATACAGTGTGATTATCAGACTTGGCAATGATTTCTTTGATAAGACACCAAAAACACAGGCAACAAAAGAAAAGAGATAAATTGGACTTCATCAAAATTAAAGACTATTATCAAGAATGTGAAAAAGTAACTCACAGAATAGGAGAAAATAGTTGTGAATCATATATCTGGATAAGGGATTATCATACAAAATATATAACTCCTACAACTCAACAACAACAAAAAAAAACCAAAAAAACCTGATTAAAATGGGCAAAGGATCTCAATAGGCATTTCTCCAAAGATGTGCAAATAGCCAATAAATATGTGGGAAAATGTTCCATATCAGTAATCATTGGGAAATGCAAATCAAAACCACAATGATACCATTTCACAACCATTGGGATGGATACTGTCAATAAATCAGAAAATAAGTGTTGGTGAGGATGTGGAGAAATTGAAACACAGTGCACTGTTGATGGAAATATACAATGGTACAGCTGCTGTGGAAAGCAGTGTAATCCTTTAACACAAAACTACAACATTAAAATTGGTAAAAATTTAACATAAAAAATTTAAAAATTACCATACAATCTAGCAATTCCACTTCTGAGTACATACCCAAAAGAACTGAAGCAGGAACTCAGAAAGATTATTTATACACCAATGTTCATAGCAGCATTATTCCCAATAGCCAAAAGGTAGAAACAATCCAGATTTCTACCCATGGATTAATGGATAAAGAAAACATGGTATATACATACAACAGATGTTATTTAGCATTAAAAAGAAATGAAATTCTGACACATACTACAGTATGGGTAAACCTCGAGGACATTACGCTAAGTGAAATAAGCCAGTCAGAGGCTGAGACAGGAGGATCACTTGAACCCAGGAGTTCGAGGCTGGAGTGCAACATGACTGCACCTGTTCAGCCTGGACAACAAAGTGAGACCCCCAACGCTTTAAATTATAAGTAGAACAAAACTTCATTAGCATTTGTTCTGTTGTCAGTCACTATTCTAAGCACTTTATATGCATTACCTCATGTTTTAACAATCAAAGCTTTGGTGACTGCCTACAACCAAACTTCTTTCCCTCCCAATTATATAAAGAGGCTAACTAGGTTATTCAAATAGTATAAATAGTTGTGGCTACAGTTGGGATTTCTGAAAACAACTGCTCTAAGGTATTTGAGAAGAGGGCTTTTTTGTTACACAGCAAATTCCTTTTCCCTCAATAACATCTCTCCAATTTTGTACCACAATCACATGCAAATACATAAAAACTGCATTTAAATAGTAAAAAAAAATGAGCCAGTAATCATACTCTTTTAACTCTTGGTTGTCCAGTCCTGGATATTGCATGTGTCTCATTTTCTAGTCCACCCATCATAAACCCCCCACAACTTTTGTTTCCAAAAATTTTTTAAATAACTTTACTGGGATTTTTTATTATTAAAAAAAAGATACACATGAGGAATAAAAGTAAAATTCTAAGTCCCCCAACTAACTGAATGGATCATCTCTTGGCCAAGGGGACCCAAAAGTGCCTTGAAAACTGAGTTCTTGGCCATGAGTGGATGGGGGAATCAGACACACCACATTATACCTCCTCCCTCCCTGGCTAACCACTATTTAGCCTAAAGGCTAAACAGAAACCAGCCCTTCAAAAGATGCCAGCACTGACACCAACCAACCACCTGATGCTTCTGGCCAAAAGGTTTGTGTCCTCTGCTTCACTTTTTGATGTCAGAGGGCTGAAAACGCTACCCTTGGATCATGCCAACGCTTCCATTTTTTGTACATGGGACCCATGAAGGGGCATAAAACTCAATTGTGTATGCGTCTTTCTCCTTTCATAAATATTCATGACTCCTCGTATAGCTTATTAAATATGTATATTCAGCCACTTCACTCAGCATAAATTCCTGTTCCCTTCCCCACCACCTTGAAGTTTTTGCCTCTTGGCCCGCCAAAGGCTATGCTTCCCAGCCTGTCAGAATGGCCATGCTGCAGGTTGCAACCACTGATGAGAAATACAGTTCTCCTTTCCAAATTCATGAGCCTCATCATTTCATCAGCTGACAAATACTATCATTGAAAAATATATACGAAATATTTTAAAACCTAAAAGTCACCTCAAATGGTTCTTTACTTGCATTAACAATCATGATATGGATTATCCCCAGATAATAAATGACCTAAAAAGCCATGCAAAGAAAGAAATAATAAATTATATATTGACATTTCAACTGAAAATTTGGCAACTGAAATTAACATTTTTAGCATTACAGATTTTTTATCCTGATGCTGAAAATAAAAGCCAACAACTGATCCTCACCAATTTCATGAAAACTTAGTTTTAGCTACAGTTTTTAACGGTGTCTGCATACAACTTCTAAACTTTACACACTTAAAATTATCACCCAGAGCTATAGAATTTTCCAAAATGAGTTCTACCAAGACAACCTTATTGCCTTTTCAGTCAAAGTGCTTTTGGGATTGTGGGCAAATGCAATTCAGATTTCATTCCTTTTGTTAATGTAAAATTATGAACAGACAACAAAAGTATTCAATGTAGGCAAGTCAGCTCTACACGAAGCAGAACACACAGCCATGCAAAAAAATTAACTTGAAGGGGTTCTATAAGAAATTTACCTAATTAGGCCACAGTGCCAAAAGTATCTACCACCAGAATCATATCTTTAGGAGAACCATCCCTTTAGGTCACTGCATTATTTTCAGAATACATTTGCTAAAATGTAAATGTTCACAAGGAGGAAGGGAAATAAATGTAAAAAAGAAATGAAGGCGAATGAAGCATAATACACTCAAGTAAAAATTAACTGATAACTAAAAATAAGCAGGACTTAAGATTCTCTCCTTCAAGGAAAATAGGTTAGAGGTCAAACACTAAAAGGTTTAAATATCCAAAGTACTGACACTTAGGACTTACCGCTAAAGTCTGACTAGCTCTAAGTAGTGAATGCCCCATCAGCTTGGCCCACCATCACCTGGCTAGGAGACTGTGATAGAATGCTTGAAGAGCTAGCAGAAGTATAAAAATCAATAGAAAAACAGTGACACTGTTTCTTTACCCAAAATTACCACAGATAAAATTTAAAAATCACAAAAGCACTACACAAGGCACACTTGGCATATGCGTATATTTGATAGCTGAACACTTACACATAGTTAGTGGCAGAGTTTTGTATTCACTTCAAAAATTGCAGACCTCCTTTATAAGACTCCAAAGGAGGTGCTTGGGAGCCTCTACATTCACCTAATGACAACGACACAACTTAGAGAATGTAAATAGAGACCGGTTGAGGTCATAATTAAATTCAAAATAACACTGTTTTAAAATACTATTATGAGCCAGGCCCAGTGGCTCACACCTACAATCCCAGCTACTCAAGAGGCCAAGGTGGGAGGATCACTTGGGGTCAGAAGTTCGACACTAGCCTGGGCAACACAGTGAGACCCTGTCTCTAAAAAAAATTTTTTTTTTAATTAGCTGGGCATGGTGGAGTGCACCTGTAGTACCTGCCATTTGGGAGGCAGAGGCAGGAGGATCCCTTCAGTCCAGGAGTTCAAGGCTGCAGGGAACTACGATTTCACCACTGCACTCCTGCCCGAGCAACAGAGCAAGACCCTGTTCCTTTAAAAAAAAACCACACACACACACACACACACACACAAAAACCCAACAATATGACAAGTTTTTTAAAATAGGCTGGGCGCGGTGGCTCATGCCTGTAATCCCAGCACTTTGGGAGGTCGGGGCCAGCAGATCACATGAGGCCAGGAGTTCGAGACCATCCTGGGTAATGTGGTGAAATCCCATCTCTACTAAAAATACAAAAAATTAGCTGGTCGTGGTGGTTAGTACCTGTAGTCCCAGCTACTCGGGAGGCTGAGGCAGGAGAATTGCTTAAGCCCGGGAGGGGTAGGTTGCAGCAAGCTGAGATTGTGCCACTGCACTCTAGCTTGGGCAACAAGAGATAAACTCCGTCTCAAAAAAAAAAACAAAAAACATTTTTCTTTTAATAAGCTTTAAAAATAAATTCTGTAATATGAACACTGCTTAGCATTTTAAAAATTGCAATTAAGATGTCTTACCCTAGATTGGTCAAGAATTTGAAGTTTTTCCCATATTATTTTATCACTTTCAGATTTTTTCCAAGGATCATTCCATTTTTCAGAAACTTCTTTTTCTTTCTTCTTTAGAGCAACCTGTTCATCTGTAAATAATGTCCTTTTTAAAAACATGTAAAAAAACTGTAAAAAAAGAACCATGTAAACAAATCATGACTTTCTTAATGCAGATACCAATACGGATCTAATCAAAACTTTTTTTTAGGAAGGAGATTAACTCATGAAGTAGAGAATAATTTTTTAGGGACACAGAATAAGAAAAAATTTAATCAGAACCAAAGTTAAGTATGGTACAATTTCATTATCACAATTACCAATAAGGAGCAATTTTTTTGGAATAACTTATTTTATATTTTGTCAATTATCATGAGGTTCTAGTTTCCTGTTATGTTCATTCAATTATTATTAAGAGAATTAAAAGCTAGAATTCTGAAGTAGAGAACTATGGGTTAAAATTCAAGTTCAAGAATTTCCTAGCTATGTGACTGTTAGCAAGCTGCTGGTAAGCTTTCTTTTTTTTTTTTTTTTTGATATAGAGTCTCATTCTGTCACCAGGCTGGACTGCAATGGCGCGATCTCAGCTCACTGCAATCTCCGCCTCCCCGGGTCAAGCGATTCCCCTGCCTCAGCCTTCCAAGTAGCTGGGGCTACAGGAGCACATCACCACAGCCGGCTAATTTTTTGTATTTTAGTGGAGACAGGGTTTCACCATGTTGGCCAGGATGGTCTCTATCTCCTGACCTTGTGATCCACCTGCCTCAGCCTCCCAACATGCTGGGATTACAGGCGTGAGCCCACCGCACCTGGCCAACTGCTGGTAAACTTTCTAAGCCTTGGTTTCTTCTATAAAATGGGGATAATACTAGTGGCCTATCTCAATATAGGGCTTGGCACAAAGTAAATATTCAATAAATGTTAGCTATTATTTCTTAATTGCTGACAAGTAAAAAACGTAAAACCCTGTGTCTGACAGATATAGTCAAAACTAAACCCCCAATGAACAGTTCTTTAAATACAAAATTCAATGATATATAAATTTAAATTCCAAGAATGTTACTGGAAGCATGACTTAAATAGAGGCGCTTTACTGAGACAAATTTAAAAAAAAAAGTAAACTGAGTTTTAAAATAATTAAAGCATAAGGCCGGGTGTGGTGGCTCATGACTGTAATCCCAGCACTTTGGGAGGCCAAGGCAGGCCGATCGCCTCAGGTCAGAAGTTCGAGACCAGCCTGGCCAACATGGTGAAACCCCATCTCTACTAAAGATACAAAAAGTAAGTTGGGCATGGTGGTGGGCGCCTGTAATCCCAGCTACTCAGGAGGCTGAGGCAGGAGAATCACTTGAACCCAGCAAGAGGAGACTGCAGTGAGTTGAGATGGCGCCATTGCACTCCAGCTTGGGCAACAAGAATGAAACTCCATCTCAAAACAACAACAACAACAAAAATGATTAAAGCACAAAACATTCCGGTCATTTCCAAGTAGTTCTTTTTCTTTTTTTTGTAGAGATGGGGTCTCGCTCTGTTGCTCCAGCAGGCGGATGTTGAACCCCTGGCCTCAAGCAATCCTCCCACCTCGGCTTTCCAAAGTGCTGGGATTACATGTGAGCCACTCACCTGGTTTTGCTTATCTCTTTCTCTATGTCACCCATCCCAGCCAAGTTAGCGATGGCCTCACAAGACTTACTAGTTTTTCAACTAGAGTGAAGCCCATCTCATGCCTTTGGCATAGCTATTCTTAAGAAATACAACTGCTAGGTCACACATTTTTGCAAATTGTGATATGCAGACCCAAAGTTTAGTCAAAGAAGTAATGGATATTTCTTAGTCACTAACGAAATTTCAAGACTATAACAGAAATCTGTAATTTCAAGCAATTCTCCTGCCTCAGCCTCCCAAGTAGCTGGGACTACAGGCGCACACCACCACGTCCAGCTAATTTTTATATTTTTAGTAGAGATGGGATTTCACCATATTGGCCAGGGTGGTCTCGATCTCTTGCCCTCCTGATCCGCCCGCCTCAGCCTCCCAAAGTGCTGGGATTACAGGTGTGAGTCACTGCGCCCGGCTTCAATACATATTCTTTAACCCAATAAAACTATAATAAAGGTATAAAAGTTACCTACCTAGCTCTTTCCTCCACTGGGCTTTTTTTGCTTCCAACGAACTTCTATCACGTTCCCTTTCCCCCAGAGTACTGAATATATCAGCTGGTTTCCATTCATTCTCTCTAAGGTAAAACACAAAAGATAATAGAAACTGTATCATACATTTCTATACAACTGACTCCATAAATATTAAGTAATAAGCTTTTAAATAGCTCTAAGTATTCAGAGTAACTATTTCACATGCAAGTAAAGGAAAAGCAAAACCATATTCCAAAGATGACCACACAATAGTAACAGACAGGAGTTACATACATGGCAATTTTTTGCTCACACTGCTTAGATGTATCCTGATGTTCATTTAAGACAGATTTACTTTCAGCTGGGACAGATGAAACCATTTCAGTTTTTTTGAATAATCCCATAATATTCTCATCCTTTGGCTGATTAGAGATACTGTTTAAATGTAGACTATATTGACCTAGGAGGTAAAATACAAGTTTTAAAATTACCACTAAATTACATCTATTTTAATACTTGACATAGTGCTATACAGTTCTTACATGTCTTATACGTTACTTAAATTAACTCTCAAAACAATCCTTGAGGTGGCTTTAAGCTTCCCTTCCCGTCAAAAAGAAAAAAGGAAGCAGGGTGTGGTGGCTCACACCTGTAGTCCCAGAACTTTGGAAGGCTGACGCGGGCAGATTGCTTAAGCTCATGAGTTAAAGATCAGCCTGGGCAACATGACAAAACCCCGTCTCTACAAAAAATACAAAAATTAGATAGATGTGGTGGCACGTGCCTGTAGTCCTAGCTATTTGGGAGGTTGAGGTGGGAGGATGGGTTAAGCCCAAGAGGTGGAGGTTTCAGTGAGCGGAGATTGTGCCACTGCACTCCAGCCAGATCCCACCTCAAAAAAAAAAAAAAGGAAACTGAAGCCCAGAGGTTAAATGGCTTGCTCATGACCACAGTCCTACAGTTTCTTATATCAAATAAGGAAGAAAACAAGCTAGCAACAACAGAAAACAAATCTCCATTTCCTCTTGCCAACATGCTTTTAAAAATAAAAACTGGCCGGGCGCAGTGGCTCACGCCTGTAATCCCAGCACTTTGGAAGCCCGAGGCGGGTGGATCATGAGGTCAGGAGATCTAGACCATCCTGGCTAACAACGTGAAACCCTGACTCTACTAAAAATACAAAAAATTAGCCAGGTGTGGTGGCGGGTGCCTGTAGTCCGAGCTACTTGGGAGGCTGAGGCAGGAGAATGGCGTGCACCCGGAAGGCAGAGCTTGCAGCGAGCCGAGATCGCGCCACTGCGCTCCAGCCTGGGCAACACAGCGAGATTCCATCTCAAAAAATGAATAAATAAATAAAAATTATAACACAAATCACAATCTAAAGGGGAATAAATACAAATATCTTGATAAATACTCATTACCTTGACATTACTTTTCTTATTTAGCTGTGAAATCAGTGGAAAACCTTTTCATGAATTGTCTCTATGTCCCAGCCATAATATCAAAATCAGATGTTTTACAGAGGGCTCATGGGCTGGCTCAAGAAATGTTCTGATTTCTTTTGAATGTGCTAGTTCTCTCAATGAAGAGAAAGCATACTTAATATGAATGTCTATATGATTAGGCAAATTCTGCTTTTAACTTTGTTGATATGATCTCTCATTATGCCTAATAAGCAGGTTGTTGCTAGAATTTTAGCCCTAAAGACAAAATCCAGCTCCCTCATTTTACCAAGAATAATCTATAACAAGAGAGTAAAGAATTCCATCTTGAGTATCATGGGAATATACAGGAGTTACTGGGTCCCCAAACCATTTGTGGGGCCTCTCCATGTGAACTGTTAATTTTTTATTTATTTCACTATTGCCTAATAAAATTTTAGATATTTCTATTGTCTTCATATTCGCAATTCCTTATCCCAAAGTGGAAATTAGAAGGCTTTTAAAAACATGATGCAATGCCAGGACTTGTGAAAGAGAAAGCTTGTAACACTCTACTGTTCGTTCCAAATCTGTGTTAACTTTGTTTTTTAAAAAAAGTACTGCCAATTCTTAGCATGGAATGAGGAACAGGAAGATTAAATGCAGCAGCCAGGAAAGCAGTGTTTTTCAGCAACTCAAGTCAAATAGTCATAGTAAAGTTTCCTTAATTTTCACTGGAAATACCATAATGGGTTTTTTTCTTAACAATGTTTCATATAACTATTTTAAATATGAGTAAAGCTTCCTATATTCTAAAATAAATATAATAGTTTTTTGTACTAACATTTTTTCTAAAATCCACAGAAACTGTTTTTTTTTTTTTTTTTTTTGAGACGGAGTCTTGCTCTGTCGCCCAGGCTGGAGTGCAGTGGCTGGATCTCAGCTCACTGCAAGCTCCGCCTCCCGGGTTCACGCCATTCTCCTGCCTCAGCCTCCCGAGTAGCTGGGACTACAGGCGCCCGCCACCTCGCCCGGCTAGGTTTTTGTATTTTTTAGTAGAGACGGGGTTTCACCGTGTTAACCAGGATGGTCTCGATCTTCTGACCTCGTGATCCGCCCGTTTCGGCCTCCCAAAGTGCTGGGATTACAGGCTTGAGCCACCGCGCCCAGCCAGAAACTGGGTTTCTTAATATTCTGAGCACTAACCTTAAAATATGGCACAACTATAAAAATAATTTTGCACATCAGAGAAAGTCCTCTAAAAGAACAATTATTTTAATAGATTGACAGGTTAAATTAGAATTTAAGAGTCACAGTTACATAAAACCCAATGAATCTGACATTCTAAAACACACATTGAAAAAATCAAAATTCATGAAAACTTTAGAAAAATCTTACTTTTTGCCTCCTTTCCATTCTCAGTCAGGGAAAGAGATCTATTTCCTTGGTTTACAGTCATCAAAATCTGTTGTAGTTGGTCTTGTGTTAGACACACCAAACTGCTCTTCATGTTTTCAGCTGTGATGTGTTTTTTGTGAGGCTTCTGTTTAGCTACTAGAGATGTATTTACGGTGTTTCTAGTCTTCTGTATATTAGGGGTTGCAGGTGAAATCTCTTTCTGGATATGAAGACAGTCTTTATCTACACATTGTTTACATAAATCCTTAATGGATGAAAAAGTCATTCCATTTTTTTCACCTTTTGCCTGTGATGTTTCTGAACCAACTGTCTTCTTTTGCAAAAGCTTTTCACTTCCTATACAAGTATCTTGTGTTGATTTTAGAATGTGCCCAGTTTTTGTTCTTAAAGGACATTTTGCAATCTTGGTCTTATTTCCCATCTGTTAAAACACCAGAAGCTTATTCTTTATAACTGTTCAAGAAAAATCAACAATTATCTTTATTTATATGATCTGTGATAAATCAGTCCTCTAAACTTTTTTCCATTTTGCTATTTAGGTAATATAACCATAAGAAACTAACTCTTAATACTTCCAAATCTTCATCAACAACTAGAAATTATCTTACTTCAGGAACTTTTATTATAGTTGTTATAGGACAACTCCACTATACTCCAGCTTTGAATCTAGTGTCATTAGATTATACCACCTACATTACCTCTTTTCTTTTTTTCTTTTTAATTAAAAAAAATTTTTTAACTACTTTCTTTTGACACAGCGTTTCACTCTGTTGCCCAGGCTGGAGTGCAACAGCACGATCTCAGCTCACTGCAACCTCCACCTCCCAGGTTGAAGAATTCTCCCGCCTCAGCCAGCTGAGTAGCTGGGATTACAGGTGCCCACCACCACGCCTGGCTAATTTTGTATTTTTAGTAGAGACGGGATTTCTTAGCCAGGCTGGTCTCAAACTCCTAACCTCAGGTGATCCACCCGCCTTGGCCTCCCAAAGTGCTGGGATTACAGGCGTGAGCCACTATGCCCAGCCATTTTTCATTATTATAAAGACAATGTTCAATGGATTTGTTTAATATCAGCTGACTTCACAATTTATATGGGGCCAGGATCCCAAGACCAGTACAAATCAGAGAAAAGTAACATTTTTAAATATAAAATGTGGACTGGGTGCAGTGGCTCACACCTGTAATCCCAGCACTTTGGGAGGCCAAGGTGGGTGGACTGCCTGAAGTCAGGAGTTCAAGGCTAGCCTGGCCAACATGGTAAAACACCATCTCTACTAAAAAAAAATATATAAAAAACATAGCTGGGCGTGGTGGTGGGTGCCTGTAATCCCAGCTACTCAAGAGGCTGAGGCAAGAGAATTGCTTGAACCCAGGAGGCGGAGGTTGCAGTGAGCCGAGATCATGCCACTGCACTCCAGCCTGGGCAACAACAGCGAAACTTCATCTCTAAAACAAACAAACAAAAAATATACATATAAAATGTGCTACCTAGCACTAATATTACAAATACCTTTTAGTATGTCACTGATTCTCACATGCAGACATACTCATAAAAATTTTTTTATTGTTTTATAGTTCAACTAATCTTTGAGACTATTTTAAGTGTAAGAGTTTTAGAATCCATTATTTTAATAAATTACTTATGACACTGGACTATGTGTAGTTTCCCATTTCTCTTCCTATAAACCTAAGAAATTAGGCAAGTAACCAAGTTTACTTCATTACCATGGACTGAAGAAAAATGTAGGAGAGGCTAGGCACAGCAGCTCACACCTATAATCCCAGCACTCTGGGACGATGAGGCAGGAGGATCGCTTGAGCCCAGGAATTTGAGACAAGCCTGGGCAACACAGGAAGACTCCCGTCTATACAAAAAATTTAAAAAAATTAACTGAGCATGGTGGTGTGGGTATGTGCCTGTAGTCCTAGCTACTTGGGAGGCTGAGGCAGGAGGATCCCTTGAGCCCAGGAGGTTGAGGCTGCAGTGAGCCATAACTGTTCCACTGCACTCCAGCCTGTCTCAAAAAAGAAAAAAAAAGAAAAAAGAAAAATGCACAGATTTTGATAGAATTAGGAAAGCACTTTGACCACATATATGTTAAACTTGATGATAATGAGATAGAGTTCAGCTGTGTTTAAAGAACACACTATGGAGATTACAATAATTCAACCAGTGGGAAATGGGAAAAAAGAGAAAAAAGACTTTTGGTGTTGTAGTAACTCAGGAGCTTACCCCACTAGAAGGAACAAAGAAAAGCACTATGCAGACAGAATTCATGAATAACTTGCAGTAAAGAGAATTCAACATCTAGCTGCCGAACTGTGAAATTTGGGAAACTAAAAAACAAAACAAAAAAAGAAGAGAATACTACTGATTTTGGTGTTTATAGTCTGTGAAGAGCAAAAAGAAATGAGAAGGATCTCTGTAACCTCTATCAATATGGGAAGATAAACTTGAAAACAATCAATACAGAAGGGAAACTTAGGTTGCATCAGTATTTTGAAGTCCCAAATGCAATAGGGATAAACCCAATTTGCTTTAAAGCAGTAAACAATTTAGGCTCAACATTAGTTGAGAACATATTAGTTACTCTTAAAAAAAAAAAAATCCTAAAACACCTCTTGACAGCTGATAGAATTTCTTAATTAAAAATTAAAAGTCTAGTAATCAAAAGTCCAAAACTAGTAACTTTATTATAGGCCTACCAAAAATCCAAGACTAGTAATTCTGTTCATTATAGGCTTATAAAAGGGATCTTCAGATATTCTGAATTGGTTAAAATGACAATAAAATGTCTTCACAAATGTGGCTTCTGTAACAAATCAGCCTGGAGAAGATAAAAATCAACCATTACAAATAGCTTTTCATCTAGGTACTTGATAAAGGCCACTGTATTTGTAAATGTGTTTCAAATAACAGCAGTTAGTTGCAATTTTTAATAGGGAAAGGGGTAGGAATAACATACAATCTGTAGTGTGATTAGGGGAGCATACAGGGTATATAACTATATGATAGAGAAAGAGAAACAATTTTTATATGTAGCTTGTGGAATTGTTCTGATCATCTTCACCTATTTATTGAGGGATATTTTGGGTACTCCAGCAACTTCTTCACCTTGATTAAACCTGCAAGTAAAGCCATCAAGGGCTTAGAGTTGAAGGGCAAAGTGATACATCATCCAAACTGGGTTCTATCCACAGACAAGTAAAGACTTTAAGACATTGTAAAGATAAAAGAAAAGGGGGCTGTAGTAAATTATGGAAGAGGAGAAGATAAATTCCTACTGATATTAATCTAAAAATTAAAAAAGAAATAGGTAACAAGAAAAGTAGAAGTATCAAAAAAGTTGGCTTTTTTGGTTTTTGTTTTTTGAGAAGGAATTTTGCTCTGTTGCCCAGGCTGGAGTGTAGTGGTGCGATCTCGGCTCACTAGTGGTGTGATCTCGATCTACAACCTCCATCTCCAGGGTTCAAGTGATTCTTCTGCCTCAGCCTCCTAAGTAGCTGGGACTAGCACCACCATGCCTGGCTAATTTTTGTATTTTTAGCAGAGATGGGGTTTCACCATGTTGGCCAGGCTGGCCTTGAACTCCCGACCTCAGGTGATCCACCCACCTTGGCCTCCCAAAGTGCTCGGATTATAGGCGTAAGCCACCATGCCTAACCTCAAAAAAATTTTTTTAATGATAATTCCAGCCTATGCAACATAATGAGATCCCATCTCTACTAAAAATTTAAAACATTAGCCGGGCATGGTGGCTCATGCCCGTGGTCCCAGCTACTCAGGAGGCTGGAGGAGGAAGATATGTAGCCATGATTATGCCACTACACTCCAACCTGGGTGACACAATGAGACTCTGTCTCAAAAATTAAAATAAACATACTGATAATGTATTTTGCAGAAGAAAAGCACAATAGATTCCTGATAAGGGAAAGTAATTTAAAAGGAAAACTACCCTTAAGCTCAAGTGCAACCTTTTAAAGGAAAAAGCTAAATGCATGCTACAATTTGTGAATTAAATTTCCCCTTTGGTGTGGGCAAATGGACTTTGAGTATGAAAAGAAAAAACATTTGCTTAAAGTCTGAATATCTGTTTTTAAAGATCTCTGGAGCTGCACTGTCCAGTACAGTCCATTATCCATTAAATTTCATTAAAAATTAATGGAAATTAGAAATTCAGTTGCTCAGTCATACTAGCTACATTTTAAGTGCTCAATAACTACACATGACTAGTGGCTTCCATATTCGATAATACTGACTTTATTAATGAACACTTCCATTAATACAGACGCTTTACTGAATAGCACTTACCTAGAGGAAGAGGTTCTATTGGGCTTTTTAAACCTAAAATGATTCAATTTCTGTGAAAGGACCAATCTGAAAGCAAGAAAATAACTTCTCACTATAATTCCAAATCCCTCACAACACTTGATATTTCCCAGGAATTATTTTCTAACCACTGTAAAGAAAATTGCATTTTACATTCGAAAACAGGTCAGGTCAAAGTCATATGGCTTACCTTCACAGAAATTTTTGATTTACGTTCTACAAAAGAAAAAAAAAATTACTAAACTGTCCACCAAAAACATACTAAGGTGGTCATGCAAGAAAACTGTAATTAATATTGTTGTAAGATTTTAAAGTGGCAACATTATCCTCGAAAGCACTAACTTTAGATCTTGACTGAGTGTTCTTTCCTAATCCAGTTCAAGTATTTACTTCTATTTTATTTTTGTTTTTATCTTTCCAAGGAAAAATATAAACAGAAAAAAATGCGAAGGAGAAGATACCAAAGTACACTGAGATTAAAAACGAATACTAAAAGTGACTTTAGCATTTTACTGTGGTCTTATTATAAACTTTTCTCAAATGATACATTCTTTACGTGCAAAGAACATAATTACATAAATTTCACTTGTATTATTCCTCAGGCAATAAGGATATTTGCTATATGCAAAAAATGAACACGCACTACACTGGGACATTAAATGTTATGAGTCTGAATACTGACAGTAGTAAGCAGTGTTGTAATCCGATTTGGCTAGAAGTAAATTTGAAGAAGTTTGAGGAAACAGCTTTTTTCAAAATATTTAAATATCACTCTATTACAAGCAAAAAGTCGGTTGAACTAACATAAATTTTATTTACGAATTTAAAATTTAACATTTCAGATTTCTGTAACATAACATACCATATGGAGACAATATTAGCTTGGTTTTTCCATCCAGTAATTCAGTTTCAAGCTTTAAACCATCTCTGCAATAAAAAAAGAAAGTTGTCTCTCATTTTTAACAAACCGCAACATTTTAAATAACCAGAAATTTTCATTTGAACCTTGACAATAAATCCATTATTTTGAATTTATGCAGAAATCTTGTACACATCAAACCAGTTTTTTTATTAAAAACGTTTTGCAATCCAAGATAAAACCCACAACTACAGGGAAAATTCTTGAAACTCTTCAATAATACAAGCATTGTTATCATTAACCTGAAACCTCATTTTGTTATTGGTAAACTATCAATTCAGTTATACCACCTTTTTTTTTTTTTATAATTCTAGACTGGAAAAAATAATGCTGTTAGCAAAACGCCTCACATAAGTTAAAGGAGCAAGATATATTTAACCACCATTCATTAGTTTCATAATGAACTCAAGACTAACACATTCTATGGAGTGCTGCAGCATCGTAAATGACTACTAACAACGCCATCAAGTTTAGTAACTGCTTGAGCAAAGAGTACCACTTTGAATATTTCAAATAATACATATTGATATTTAGTATGATATTTAGTATATTTATACGTGTATGTCAAAAGCAAAGGCATAAAGTAACAGCAGGCACTGCCAACAAAACTTGAATGTCTGTTAAGGTCCTAAAACTCCACTGAAAACAAAAATGGCAGCCCATACATACAGTCCATAATTCAGAGAAAATTAAATCCAGCAAGCCAGTCAAGGGAGAGAGAGGCTGGAAAAGGTCTGATTAGGAATGCGAAATTTGCGGTGCTGCTCAGGTAGGGGAAATCAAATTACCTCAACTATTAAAGGTCAAACACTGGAAAGAATAGGTTTTACGGCTTTCCCTATTGCAGGGTTATGAACAGATCATGTTTATGTTGGTGAAACGTCACTAAGAAAGAAAAGACCTTGAATGGTAAAGTATCTTCAATGACGCACTACACTGTAATCTCCTTAAGGGACACGCTATCTTATTTATTTCCATATCCTCAGATTCTAAAACATAACAACATTTGCTGAACGATGTGTAGTTAAGTGTGAGTTCGGTGGCTTTTCATCTTAAAATATCAAACCTGCGAGTGATTTAAGACCATGCACCAGTCCTTTTTATTTATTCACCCCTACGTAAGGAGCGCCTACTAGGTGTTAGGCACTGGGTACTACATCGATTTCTTGAGAAGTCTCGGTTCCCCGCCTCGTGCACCTAAAACTAATCTGGGCGCTCCAACATTCTGCAAGACTCCAAAAACAAGGTGGCGAAGAACCCGGGGCGTGGGCCAGGAGTCCTCCCCAGGAGCCTCCACGCTTCCTCTAACTGTCTCGTCATTTCTCTCCTTTCCTCTTCAGCTCTCTTCCCTCCCCATCCTGAGGTAAATAAGGGACCGAAACGGAAATCACGGGCAGTTTTAATGCGAGTCATTAAGTGAAAACGTAAGGTCTGTGGAGTCGCTAAGGGCCGACCCGTCTACCTCGCTCTTCTACCCGAGAACTGGGCTCTGTCCCTCTCGGCGGCGCAGGTTGGGAACGTTCTCCGCTAAAGACTCCAAAGGACAACCCAGATACACATGGCCCCCCTTTCCGCTGACGACCACCTTCCTTACCCCAGCTTACCCCAAGTTCATGGCCTGACCTCGCACTTTCTCCACAGAACGCTCCAGCCTCTTGTGTACGTCGGTTGCCGCCGCCGCTCAGCAAGCGCTAAGCTAATTGGATATAGGGGTGCCGGCGAGCTGAGCAAGTGGACCAATCAGGATGGGGCATGCTGGCTGGTGCGCTGAGCTGGGCCGGGGCTCCCAGGGCGACTGCTGCGTTCGCCGTTTGTGCCCCAATTGTGCCGATTCCCTACGCGCAGCGGAATTTGGCCTGACCTGGCTTGTGAGTCTAAGGCTTCGGTGGCGGAGACGTACGCTTCTCGCAACTGTAACCTTGCAAAAGGCGCGCGCGCGCACACACAACACACACACATACACACCCTTTTTTGGGTCACCATTTGAAAGTAAGTTACAGACATTGTAACGCTTAACACTTTAACATTGCAGCATGTATCTCCTAAGAACAGATGTTCTGCTATATAACAACAGTACCATTATTATACCTAAGATCATTAATTTCATGATAGTATCTAATTTCCCTTCCCGATTTAATTTCCCCCACTTGTCCTAAGAGTATCTTATAGGCGTTTTATTTAGAAAGCAAGAGCCAATCAAGGATCACACATTACATTTGGTTATTAAGTATCTTTGCACACTCTTTCCAGAAAAAAACAATGAAAGGTATATTATTAAATGCTAGACAAACCTTTACTTTTTTTTTTATTGTAATATATGTGTTAAAATTTGCTATTTTTTGCCATTTTCAAGTGGTAATTACATGATACAATGTTGTGGAATACACCAGTATGTTTTTTCAAAACCTTTTTAATACCCTTAAATAAAAATTCTGTGCCCATTAAGCAATAACTTCCCATTCTCGTCTCCCCTCAATCCTAAGAAACCTCTAATCTTATTTCTGTCACTAGGAATTTGCCTATTATAAATATTTCATGTCATAAAAGTAAAATCATACAATATTTGCCCTTTTGTGTCTGACTTCTCTCATGTAGCATAATGTATTCAAGGTGCATCCATGTAGTATGTATCAGAGTTTCATAACTGTTTATGATTGAATAGTATTCCGTTCTATGTATATGTATACCACAGTTCGTTTACTCATTCATCCATTGATAGACATCTGGGTTGTTTCCATCTTTTAATTATTGTGAATAATGCTGTAGTGAACACTGATGTACAAGTATCTGTTTGAATCCTTATTTTCAATTTTCTTGGTATACACCTAAGAGTGGAATTACTGGGTCACATGGTAATTCTATGATTAACTTTTCGAGAAACTGCCAAAGTGTTTTCATAGAAGTTGCAGCACCTTACATTTCTGCCAGCAGTGTATATGAGGGTTCTAATTTCTTCACCCCAACACTTGATTTTTCTGTCTTTTTGTTTTGTTTTGTTTTGTTTTTTTGAGACATGATTTTGCTCTGTCACCCAGGCTGACTACATTGGTACGATCATAACACTGTAACCTCAAACTCCTGGTTTTAAATGATCCTCCTGGCTTAGCCTCCCAAGTAGCTAGGGCTACAGGCATGCACCACTACACCTGGTTAATTAAAAAAAATTTTTTTTGTAGAGACAGAGTCTCTTTATGTTGCCCAGGCTGGTCTCAAACTCCTGAGTCCCCCCTCAGACTCCCAAAGTGCTGGGATTATAGGCGTGAGCCTGTAGCCAGAATTATTTCTAAAACGTGAAATTGCTTAATTCACTCTGCTGCTTAAAATCTCTCAATATAGGAGACTGTCCTTAACTTGATAAGCAATATCTACAAAAAAAATCCCCAAGAGACCGGGTGCAGTGGCTCATGCCTGTAACTGCAGCACTTTGGAAGGTCAAGGCAGGAGGATTGCTTGAGTCTAGGAGTTCGAGACCAGCCTGGGCAACATAGTGAGACCCTATCTCTATTTAAAAAAAAAAAAATCCCCTAGAACCCAATCTCACACTTAACAGTGAAAAAGTGGAAGCTTTTCCACTGAGATCGGGAACAAGAGCAAGGCAAGAATGTCCCTGCTTATCACTGCTTTTCAGCATCACACTGAAAGTCTAAGCTAATCCTAAGACTTAGCCTTAGCCCTAGCTAAGACAAGAAAAGGAAATAAGTATACAGACTGGGAAGGAAGAAATAAAACTTTGTTTGCAGATGACATGATTGTAGAAAATCTGAAAGAAGCCACAAAAAATCCTCCTGGAATTAATAAGTGAGTATAGCAGCATTGCAAAATGCAAGGTTAATGTGTATTAAATTGCTTTCCTGTATGTCAGTAATCAACAAATAAAAGCTGAAATTAAAAACGCAATACCATTCACATTAGCATCCCATCAAATGAAATACTTAGGTATAGATCTAACAATATATATATATAAAGTCTATATGAGGAAAATTACAAAACTGATGAAAGAAAGAACTAAATAATTGGAGAGATATTCTGTGTTTATAGATTGGAAGACTCAGTATTGTGAAGATGTCAGTTCTTCCCAACTTGATCTATAGATTCAACACGATGCCAATCAAAATTCCAGCAAGTTATTTTGTGGGTATCAACAAACCAAATCTAAAGTTAATATGGAAAGACAAAAGACCCAGAACAGCCAAAACAATATTTAAGATGAACAAAGTCAGAGGACTGACCCTACCCAACATCAAGATTTACTATAAAGCTACAGTAATTAAGATAGTGTCGTATTAGTGAAAGAATAGACAAATCTATTAATAAAATAGAGTGCCTAGAAATAGACCCACATAAGTAGTCAACTGGTCTTTGACAAAGGAGTAAAGGCAAAACAATGGAGGAAAGATGATCTCTCAACAAATGGTGCTGGAACAATTGGAAATCCACATGCAAAAATGTTAGTCTGACCCAAACCTTGCATTCTTCACAAAAATTAACTCAAGATAGAACAGAGTCCTAAATGTAAAATGCAGAACTGTATAACTCCTAGAAGAAAACATAGGAGAAAATCTAGATGACTTTGGATTTGATGATAACTATTTTTACAAGCCCACAGCTAACATCATATGATTATAACTGCTTAGATGCAACAACAAAGGCATGATCCATCAAAGAAAGAATTGATAAGCTGGACTTCATTAAAATTAAAATTTTCCATTTTGTAAAAGACACCAATAAGAAAATGAAAAGATAAGCCACATTCTAGGAGAAAATATTTGCCAAAGATATATCAGATAAAGGACTGTTATTCAAAATATACAAAAAGATCTTTAAACTCAACAATAAGAACATAAACAACCCAATTTTAAAAATGGGCCAAAGACCTTAATGAATGCCTCACCTAAAAAGATGCTGAATACAGATGGCAAATAACCGTATGAAAGATGCTATATGTCATATATCATCAGGAAATGCAAAATGAGACAATGAAATACTATTACACACCTATTAGAATGGTCAAACTCTAGATCACTGATGACACCAAGTGCTGGTGAGGATGCAATCTCGTTCATTGCTGGTGAGAATGCAAAATGGTATAGCCACTTGGAAGACATTTTGGTGATTTTCTTTTCGTTTTTTGTTTTTGTTGTTGAGACAGGGTCTCACTCTGTTGTCCAGGCTGGAATGCAGTGGCATGATTTTGGCTTACTGCAGTCTTGACCTCCTGTACTCAAGAAATCCTCCCCACTCAGCCTCCTGAGTAGCTAGGACTACAGGCGTGTGCCACCATGCCTAGCTAAATTTTGTATTTTTTTGTGGAGATGGGTTTTTGCCATGTTGTCAAAGCTGGTCTTGAACTCCTGAGCTCAAGAGATCTGCCTGCCTTGGTCTCCCAAAGTGCTGGAATTATAGGCGTGTGCCACTGCACCTGGCATTTGTGGTTTCTTACAGAACTAAACATATTCCTACCATGTGCGTGACCCAGCAATTGCCTTCTTTGGTATTTATCCAAAGGCATTGAAAACGTATGTCCACAGGAAAACCTACACATGGATGTTTATAGCAGCTTTATTCATAATTGTCAAAACTTGAAAGCAACCAGGATGTCCTTCAGTAGGTGAATGCATAAACTGTGGCACATCCTGACAATGAAATATTATTCAGAACTAGGAAAAAATGAGCTTGATATCAAGTCATGAAGAGGCATGGAGAGAATGTAAATTGATATTACTAAGTGAAAGAACCAATTTGGAAAGCCTACAAACTGTATGAGTTTGATTATATGGCATTCTGGAAAAGGCAAAACTATGGAGACAGTAAAAAGATCGGTGGTTGCCAGGGATTGGAAGAAGGAGGGATAAATAGCCAGAACAGAGGATTTTTAGGGCAGTAAAACTGCTCTGTATGATATTATAGTAGTGGATACATGTTGATATAGTTAGGCTTTGTGTCCCCACCCAAATCTCATCTTGAATTGTGACCCTCATAATCCCCATAATCCCCGTGTGTCAAGGGAGAGACCAGTTGGAGATAGTTGAATCATGGGGGCAGTTTCCCCCATGCTGTTCTTGTGACAGTGAATGAGTTCTCACAAGAGCTGATGGTTTTATGAGGGGCTCTTCCCCCTCTCCTCAGCACTCCTCCTTCCTGCTGTCTTGTGAAGAGGAGTACCTTGCTTCCCTGTCACCTCCCACTGTGATTGTAAGTTTCCTGAGGCCTCCCCAGCCATGCTGAACTATGAGTCAATTAAACCTCTTTCCTTTATAAATTACCCAGTGTTGGGCAGTTCTTTATAGCAGTGTGAAAATGGACTAATAAACATGTCATTTTCATCCAAACCCATAAAATGCACAAGAGCAAGAGCGAACTCTGTCTAATGGAAACTATGAACTTTGGGCGAGAATGGTTTGTCAGGATAAGTTCATTCATTGCAATGAATGTACTACTCTAGTGGGGGACGTTGACAAAGAGGTAGGTTGGGGAAGGGGCAGAAAGTATATGGGAAATCTCTGTATTTTCTGTTCAATTTTGCAGTGAACCTAAAATCACTCTTACAAAACAGTCTATTTAAAAACTCCCAATAATTAAAAAACCCTGTTGCTCCTGATACAAAGCGCAAAGGGCTTAACAATCTCATGAGTCCCATCTTGACCTTTTAAATT